ATTTGATCAACATTGAGCGACAGCAGACAACAGCAACAGAAGAGCCCAAAAGCTAGAAATTTGAGCCTTAAAACTTAAGTTAACTTAAAATTTCAAGCCAACACTCCTTGTTTAAGCATCTAGATTTGTAATAGATATTATGCAATAACTGAGATACTTAACTCCTTTAGCTGCATCTCTTAGCTGCCTTGAATACTGCTGAGGCTGTCATAAGGGGCCACATGTGGTAAATATGTGTAAATATATGTGGATAATAAGTACGACCATTCCAAAGACTTCAAGTAGTTGTAAGATTCTCATATTGGGTTGTTAAGACTAGACTTTTAAGTGAATAAATGAGCTCGAGATGGATTCTTGAGAGATGTTTTGCTAGAACTCACTAGCAGTATGTATTTAATGTGAAGAGCTCGACTAACTCAGTCTTATATATAAGTTAAGTGTGATTAATCAACTATGACAACGGCCATAGGCTGTTGTTTAAGGCTCATAAACAGCCAGACACTTGTCTCTCTGGACAGCTAAGGCGAAATGCGACGATTATAGGATGCGCCAGCTTAGCACATTAGATCAGCTAGGTATATATAGCTGATAACTTATATATACTCTAAGAATTTTGAACTAGAATGCCTCAATATAAAGTTGGCTTGCTTAAAATATCGCTTAAACAAACACACATTTTTGCTTCTGATGTTTGCTCAATTTAAAGGCAATGAAAACAGAACTTACTTCAGCTTAAAGGCAACTGAAACTTCTTGTGCTACTCCTTGCTGCTATCGCAGTTCGAGTTATATGTGCCAAACCTTAAGCTTTCACTTTCCTCATTTTTCCTCATTTCTACAGACAACATCTCTGACAGCTAGACTCGACAGTTCCACTCCATTTAAGTCTATTATTTATAGAGGCAACAATTTGTAATTGTTTTCAAATGGAACTTCATTTATTTTCTATTAAATGCACATTTAATATTTGAGCCAACTCTTAACAGTTGGCAATTGTAAGCCGTGACCAAGTTTATTTGAAAGGTAACGCCAGCAAGTTGTGCCCAATATTGTGAGCACGCTTTATTGGCCAATTTGCGAAAATGGCAGCGACTGTTGCACTCGTTGTCGATATTGCAAACTTTACTCGCAATATAAAGTTCCGGTGCACATGACCGACAGTTCGCATAGAGTTAACGGCAAAAAAGAAAGAATTTCTAGCAGAAATTGTATTGTAAGAAAAGAAAAAGTTAACAAGAATAAATTGAATAAAAAGATTGTTTATTATAAATTGAATTTTTATATACGGGTTTCGCTGAAACAGGAGATGAGAACGAAAGCAAGCAGAATGAAGTTAATTAAAATAACTAAAAATGAAATTCATTTGATTTTACTTTTAGTTTAAAGAAATTGAAATTGAAATTCAATTGAATTTTGCTCTCAAGTCAAATGTTATTAGATCAACATGCCTCGCACATCCAGTTAAGAGCGCGCCACAACTGTTAAGCATAATCCTCAGAAGCTCTAAAGTTAAACTTAATTTGATTTGCTAGCCATGGCGCAATAACAATTGTGGCTACAGGCCACATTCGATAAAATGTAATCGAATGCATAATGTCAATTTTGATTTAACAACTAGAAAATCTAATGAAATTCAAGACAGACACACACAGAGAAGAACAAGAAGAAGAAGTAATTGGCAAGCAATAAAAAAATGCTGAAGAGAACTGAAAGATAGAAAGAAGTGTGAAGCAGTCGATGTAACTGTCACGCACACACACACAGAGAGAGAGAGAGAGAGAGAGAGAGAGAGACTCTTGTGTGCTGTGCGCAATCTATTTGCACTAAGTGTTCGTTAGAAAATGTTTGCATAGCAGCACTCAACGTCATTCAAAACACATGTAAAGCAGCTCGAAGTGCGCTGCTTGAGCGGAGCCACTGTGCCCACTCTGACTCCGACTCCGACACCGACTCAGTGTGTAAAGAAAATCAAAGAAAATCAATAAAGGCAAATTGTCGTAGGAAAACAGAAATGTGCATCATTTTCACTTTATGCAAATTGCAAAAGTTGTGATGAAGTCGAGTCTGAAGATGCAGAGGCAGCTACCCAAACATTGAGTGCTATATGAATGAATGCCCATGCGAGTGCTCAGTAAATGTGTCCCATTTCTGTAAATGTGTGTCGGTGTGTGTGTGTGTGTGTGTGTGTGTGTGTGCGTGTTTGCCATGTGTAAATGCATGGCTGACAAAAGGCATTTGCATATTTAATGTTATTACGTTATTTTGCATGCCACACACAAAAATTTATGATTGCATATGCCCTGCCCTGCTCTGGCCTGCCCTGCCCTGCCCTGGCCAGGCATTACGAATGCGCACATTCCCTTATACATATATATATATATTTTCACACACACAAAATTTTACAATAATTCCGTTACAACTTTTTAGGCGCTGCTCCGTCAGTGTTTCACACGCTACCACTTTATCGTCGTCGTCGCCATTCACCATAAATAATAAAATTATTTTGCTGTCAGTTTGAATTCTGCACCGCCCACAGCCACGCCCAGCTGGCAAGGCAAATATTGAAAAATGCACTGCATACAAAAAAACAAAAAAAACTGCCATTAAAAGCTCATTTCAGCTTCTCCATTGCAACCGACGTCGACTGCGGGCAGTCTCTCGGCCTTAGTCTCAGTCTCTCTGCACACACAACTTGAAGAAATCGCAGCGCATTTGCGGTCTACGCAAAGTCCTTGAGAAATTATAAATGCGACAGAGTCGAGTGTGCCTGACAACAACAAGCGCTGCTTCAGCTGAATGATTTATTTCCATATTGAAATCAACAATTCACAAAAATGAGAAATAAAAATCAACTGAGCAATGAGTCGAGTCGAGTCAATAAAAGAAGCACAAGTGCAAAATAATTCTGATATAAATATGCATTTATTACGCTGTTATTATTGCTATGGCTGTCATTGGGAAACTGAGCTCTGTGTGAGCAGCTACAGCCATACCAGGTGAACAAGAAGCTCTAATTTTTTTTTTTCACTTTAGAGAAGTGAAATATATATAGAGAAGAGAAATATAATAAAATTCTTCTTCACTTTTCATTATCTTAAAACTTCTGGAGTAACCTCTCATATTAGATTTGGCATGTGAACAAGTTAAAAAGTTAAACCTTCTATAAAAGAGTTTGATCTGACTTGTAGAAGTGTTAGGAATTTGTTAACTCTATGCTTACACTTGTTAAAAAATAAACGAAGAAACTAGCTTGCATTAAAGTCGACTCACACAGGATATCAGTTAAGAATTTATAAGTGTATATATTTAGGTAGTTATCTTGATACTTATATTCAGATTTATTATTAATTTGTATATATATTTTATTACTTAAAATTTGATGGAAACTTTAAATTATTCACAAATATTTTAGAGTAGTCCCTTGAAGTGCCTCACAGTCTCATAATATTAATGATTTTTTTGGCCGTGAATTTGGGTCATAGCTGGCCAACTGAGTCTGTCTCTATTCTCTGTATTGATATAGGCTTTTCAATATTTTTATTTTAGTTTGAGCTTTATTGAAATATCAAATTCAAAAGCACAAAAACTCGTTTTTATAGCATCAAACAGACAAAGCAGATAGAATAAGTAGTCTAAAGAATTTAAGCTTTTAAAATAAATACAATAGATGATAGGCAGATCGAAGTATAAGAATTAAAAAATATATAAATTTGGTTAGCTTTAAGACTTTGAGACTATGCAACGACTTTGCAGCACCTGCAAAATTCATTTATGATTTATTATGTTTCATATAAATGTAATATAAATATATAAAGATAGAAACATTGGCCAGTGTTCAGCTTCATTGAATATTCGACTGACAAAGCTTATGCAGCACAAAAATGGATATTAAAGCTTTCAGCCTCTCAGCAAGCTCTCAAATCCTGTTAAAGCACAAAATTTCAATTTGAGAAAATTAATAATAATGCTGTTAGCATCATGTAGCCTTAAATCCCAGGGTGTGCGAGCTAAAACCACAAATGCCCAAATGGCCAGTGCACAGATTGGCTGGCCGAATGGCTGGCTAGCTGGCTGGCTGACTGTTTGGCCAAAAAAGGGCAAACAATGAAATGGCCAGAAGGCAGCAAGTGTGACTTTAGTCACTTGCAATTGCCGGAAACCAGAGGGCAAAAGCCTTGCTTGCTATGTAGCTCTATTGTATTGAAAGCGATGCGGAAGTGTTGAACACACACACAAACACACACACACACACACGCACACATATGGGCCGACAATCATGGCAACCGCAAATCATCATAGATATTTCGAAAATTTCATTACAATGTTTTTGTTGCTTTCGGTTGCCCTAGGTAGATAAGCTGAATGTTATCTACAATGCTGAATGTTGTCAATGAATGGTTAGATGAGGTGTGCTCACCGTACGTGTGTGTGTGTAAGCTTGCACTCACACAGCTACAGCTACGCAGTTAATGATGGCTCAGGCAGTGTTTGCCTGGCAGTCAGCAGTCAACTTATATGGGCGAAGCTGCGACTGGCTTAACTCTGGCAGGCGTGTTGTTATTTTGCTACTTCTTCTTCGTCTCTCTTTTTTTACTCTGTTCGTGCCACATTGCGCTCATTGTTGTTGTTGTCGCTGTCGTTGTCGTCTATTGTCTCATTGTCTGTGCGAGCATGTATGATTTTTTATTATAAATAAGCTTCTAGGCATGTGTCGTCCGCCTGTACATGCCAACCAAACTACAGCCGTAATCTGAAATGGCAAGCAACAGCAACAGCAGCAGCAGCAGCAGCAACAACAAAAGCAACAATAAAGTCAGACAATCATGTTGCGCTGACATTCTCGACATGTTTTTGCTGCGATTAAACTTTAAGATTTGCAGAGAACATTCAACGCAATTACAAGCATAAAACATGACTGCAAACACGCCTTTACATTGATCACATTTAGTTTATATATTTTATACACTTTTATAATAATTGAAATTGTCTTCTCTATTGCAGACTTGGCTCAACGAAGCAGCTGTCAAGGTATGTTAGTTAAGATAAGTTTGTTGTCTTTGATTGCGTCTAATATCGGTTTTTTTTTTAAAGTAACACAAGTTTAAATTATAATAAAATATTTATATATATTTTTAATATAATTGAAATGTATTTTATTAAATTAAACATTTTATGACATCAATGTTTCAATATGATTTCGGCTGTTGAACTTTCATTTTCATAATTATGACAATCATTGCCATAAGCGGGCTTGAAGCGACATGCGCCAATAACAACGATAGACCATAAAGCACACCTAACAGTTATTTTCTGTGGATGTTTAATGTTTCGACAAAAGCTTATCGTTTATCCTCACACCAAATGCAACAATTCGACTTAAGCAAAAAAACTTATTTATCATTATGTTATACTGCACGATAAGTTTGACAAACTGAATTTTGACACAATATTTTAACAATTTTCTAGCAATGCACTAAGCAAAGCCTATTCATGCTGAAATGTCAAGCTAAACTCAATAAAAATCAGCTATCAAGATTTAAATAACTTGTCAATCAAATTAGCTCTGCTAACTCAAAGTTGTGCGGCTCTAAAAAACACACCCTTTACAATAAATTATTATTTGTTAGACTCGCTTGCATAATCAAGACACAAGTTTTGACATCTTGAAATCAATGTTTGTTTAAATTTATATCAACTGTTAATCGGCTGCTAAACAATTATATATATTATAAAAATAATTCCAGCAATAAATGAATTGATTTTATATACGAAATGTCTGCCTGCTTCTGAATCTGCTGCCATCTACCAATATTAAATCTTTCTTTATCGAGTTTTTTTCTTGCTTTTAACAGCCAGCCTCAGTCGGAGCTTAGCTAAATATTAATTGCAAATTAAAATTATCCAATAGATACAGAAATCAATATATGCTGAGAGCCTGCAGGCTTTCAATTCCAATTAAACTCAATTCAGGCAAACGTAGAATAGGCCCTACCTTAATGTAACCAAATCCAGTCAATTTAATCAAGTCTAAACACACCCAGGCCCAGGCACACACTCAGTTGCAGTTTACAGCAATCATCTGCTCACATGTTCTATGGAAAGCAATTTTGACTTGGCTTATACAATTTGAAAAGCAACATTTCGACTCTCCCTCAATTTGTATACTAAATCGAAACCGAAACCCACAACAAGCGCAGGATAAAATAAAAAAAAACCCCGACAAAGAATAAGTAAGAAATGCTGAGAATGCTCGGTGCCTGCGGCTATTTGTCGGCTGTGCAATGCAACACTTTGCTCAATCCCAGGTTTAAATGAATAATGGCAAATGCCCGCAGTCAATGTATATGCCAGCCACATATAACCGACGCAGTGTGGCTGAGAGCGAAGCGTGCGCTGGCAGGAAGACTCAATGTAAGGCAGCGTCTGGCTGTGGCAGAGTCTGAGGTTGTGTCAATTCTATCAGTTGATTGCCATTATGTTGTTAAGGTGAAAAGCGCAGTGGCCTTGTTATTGTTGCTAGCATATAGCAAGTGACAGCGAGAGAGCACAATCAATTGCATCTTGTTACATCTTCTGTTGAGTGGAAAATGAGTTTACACTTAGGTAAATCATTGCGTTTTTGCATTGACAAATCAAATTTGCTGCCTGGCAACGATTGGCGAAATACCAAAGCTCATATAATTGCAAACTTGTCACGTAACACATTGCGTATACGCAACGTTGCAGCATTGCGTATACGCAACGTGCAACGGATGCATAGCCAATACCCATGAAATTTGCGGAAGAAAAAGTATCTCAAATCATCAATCGATTGAAGGCGATATAAACCATATCAGCATCTGCAGTCTTAAGCGATTTGTAGCAAAGCAAAGCTGAGCAAATATTTTGTTGAGACTTCAGAGCGCATCTGAGCGTCGAGCATGCTCGCCTAGCTCACGCTGCCTTGTTGTGGCCTGCTGGTGTCTGTTGCTGACCCTTGTGACGTGGCAAAAACAAAATTTGATTTTAAATTGGCAGGTCTCTGTGCCCGACACACGCACACCCAATTTGCTGGCTAATTTAATATGCAAGCGACAAAAAGGCCATGAATTCAAGTAGACGCATGTCATAAGGCATGGTTCGACGTAATTGGATTTGAAAGTTATTGTCTAAGGTTTCTTTACTTTTACTCCAAATTTCGCCAATTTGAAATATCGAAAAAGTTTCGCACTGAGTTTGTTTCGCTTGGCACTTTTTGTGCCGTTGACAAGGGGTTAAGATTAGTTTTATAAGAATATTGTATGGCTGATGCTGCTCGCATGCATGTTAACTCATGGCTGACCAAGCGTGCTAAAACTAAAACTTTCAAATGACTTTTGCCCACTGCGACGCAGACATTTCTATTTGCACTTGACTTTTATTCGGGCTGTTGTTCATTTCTGCTGGGCTGAGAGCAACAACTTTGCACCAGCCTCAAGTTTAGTTTAATTAAAAATAATAAAAAAATGTCAGCTGTGCTTCTGCTTCTTCTCCTTAGTTTTTTTTTTTTTTGTGGCAAGTTTTGCATGCATTTTGCAACTTGTCGACAAAACTATTTCAATTTATGTAACATTGCAGCGCTTGACTTGAACTTCTTGCTAACGCGCCTCAAAGCAATTTATTTGTATTAGAATTTGTATTAGAAACTAGTTTTTATCAACTATTATATTCATAACTCTATTTGCACTTGCCAATTATGAAGTTTATTTTGTCTCTGATTCAAATAAACTTTTCGCATTCTTCTTTTGTGCATGTTTAAGGCACACAGCCAATTAAATATAATGTTTATTTAACCTATTTTAAAGCATTGTTTACTTAAGTGCAACAAGAGTCGAATAGGAGTATGTGCATTATGAATACCCTATAATCTTAATAGACTATAGACTTAACTAGACTAAAGATAAGAGCAATAGGCAATGAAATTGCAATGAAACTAAAGTAGTTTCTGTTTTAATTTCAATAACATATAAGAGCATTTGCTCAGCAATGAAATGGCCAACGTAGCTGGACAGGCTGAGCTTCAAAGTCCTATAATTTTTGCCTCGGTTTACTCTGCTCGCTTTGCCCATTAATAATGGAACTGAGCATTCGCTCGTTTATAATAAAATCAACAAGACAATGCAAGAAATAAATTTCTATAACTCAAAGTGTATAAAAACCAAGAAATTTAACTCAAGATTACACTGAAAACTCTATAAACTGAACAGTCTAAGTTCAACTGCATTAGGCGCTCTCTCTCTCTCTCTCTCCTTTCCATACATAATTCCGTCTAGAAATGTAGAAATTTTCAAATTTTCTTCAAGCTCCTTCCCTTTAAACACACAACCACACACAATCAGTAGAAATCAAAACGATTCTTTCCAAACTAATTACACATCCCATTAAATATATATTAAAGTGTTTAAAAAGTTATCAGCAGCCCAAAACTGGTGCATATTTCATGTATTCAAAAAAAGAAAAAATAAAGCTGAAAGCTAATTTCGTACAGCAACATTTCAGCACAGAGAGAGAGAGAAAAACTTGGCTTGTTTCATGCGTGGCACAACTTGTCATCTGCAGAAAATGACTTGAGCTACACACACAGCAAAAAAAATAAAAAAATAAAAACAAAATCAAAATAAACAACAACAAAAAATATACAAAACGCCAACGTGACGACGTACTTTTTTGGCCCAAAAGTTTACGAACTTTTATGTGCCTGAAGCACACCCACACACAGACACCCACACACCCACTCACATATGCAGCTGCATGCTTGTACAAGTGTATGTGTGTATGTGTGTGTGTGCGTGTGCTTGTAGCACAACACTCTGAGCGCAACCCGCTATTGCTCTAACCTGTCTGCCTTTCATTACGCACTTTCTACTTACCTGTTATAACAGGTGTACATAACTTTTTAGACTCGACAAAGTGATACATTTTACTCTATTGATTAACTGTCATTAGCAGCAATCTTCTTATTGAAAATATGTTTTTAGAAATACTGCCTAATGGCGTTTTTAGTTTTTTTTTTCTCAAAATAAGCTTGAGAAGTCTATCTGTGCCAATACAGTGATTATACAATGTTAGTTTTTCAGAGTAATTGAAAGAATTTATTGAAAATAAATGAGCTTAAGAATCGGGTTCTTTATATCAACTATCAGCTTTATTTAAAGCAAATCACACAAGTTTAAGTTTGGAACTCTGTGTTGATTGATTATAAATAAAAAGTAAAATTTTTTTTAAATACATTTTTACTGAGCATTTGAAATTGAGCTTCATTAAAAATAAAATTTTATTCGCGCCGAAATTTGTTAATTATTTTCAACTCCAGTTTATATTCATTTTCGTGAGCCATGTTACAAAATCCAACGCCACTTGAAGCTGCCACAGGTAATGCGCCTTAAGTAGCTTCTACTGGACATCTATGATCAAGTTGCAAAAGCTGCAACATCAACTTGAAAAAAGTATTAATATTAACATTGATATCAGATGACGCTATGCCAGTTCGCTTAAAGAAAACATTTTATATTAAATGAAACAACTGAAATTCATTCGAAAGAAACTCTTTCTCCTAATTTTTTTTTCTTAATAAAATTAGCTGGTTTCATTGCCGAAACCCAGAAACCCCAGAGCTTGTTGGCATGCTCAAGCTTAGTCTTAAGCATGAGTGGAATTAAAGCAGATCAAACAGCAACAGCAAATGAAATAAGCTAAATGATAATGTATCAAAGCTTAACTTAAATCTTCTGCCACAGGATTGCCCTTTAAGCAACCAACTAACGATTTCTGTGCATATAAAAATATATCTAAAATATATATAATAATATATCTATGCATACATCACATCTGATGTATACACTTCAATTTGAAATAATTACCAGAAGCCACAACTTCAAATATTCCAACAGCTGAGGAGCATCAACTATTCAGATAAAAATGCCAAAACTGGAGTTTCGCATGAGTATCTTGTGACTCTAACGACTCGCTACGTGTAATTATGCATTAACAACTAAGCACAGTGTTGTAAA